AGACAGTGCTGCCCCTAGTGGGCCGGGCTGGCTTTGCCCAGTAGGCCACTACAATGGTTGGCTGCACGGTAAGGTTCCTCTCTTTTATTTCTGTTACCTTTTCTAATTTCTGTTTTTCTGTTCTGGTTTAAAATAAATAGTAAACCATTCATAAAATCCTAGAAATAATTATGGGTGCTTTCTGAGTTATTCCAGTGACCCTTGACAAGTTCAAACATTTTTGGAGCAACTAAAATATATATATATAGCATTTAAATAGCTCCAATTCAAATATGGTTGAATTAATTCAAAGTCCAAATATGTCCTGCAAAAATGTCAACCATTTTTGGTAGATGCTTCCACCTTGATCCAGAAATGATGAACATTTTTAAAGGGCATTTTGAAATCATTGAAAAAGATTTTAGTAAACCCTAGTTGGTTTAAGGGGGGTGCTGGGGGTTCTGTCATCCCCATTTCAGTTTCATAAAAAAAATAAACATGATGCCATGATGATCATGCAAGAGTAAGCAAAGCTAAGCTAGGGCTGTGACAAGAACGGACAGCAAGCGGACGCTATGTCCGCTTGGGTCGCCCCGTTCGGCCAACTTTTGTGTCCGGCTGACCCAAACCGACGAAATGGATCGCCCCATTGGAGTTGCTCTTAGGGCATCTCCAGCCGTTGGCCCCCCAGGAGGGGCAAAAAATCGCCCCCTGGGGGCGCGCCGGCGCTAAACCGCGCACTGGGGGCGTGATGCCCCCCAATCGCGGCCCCCCACGGGTTTTTAAAATGTTCAAATTTGGCGCAAACACAACGCAAACACGGGCGAGTTCATTCAAATTTAAACATATTTTACAAAAAAAAAAGAAAAAAAACTACCGCGGGCTACCCCCGCCGTCTCCCTCGCCGCCCGCCCACGCGGTTCTACATGCCGAGGAGGCTGTCGAACCGCGTGTAGTCACCGTCGTCGTCGTCGTCGCCCCCGCCTACGCCTCTGCCGTCCCTGCTGCATCCCTCCCCCGGTTGGCGCGGCGGGTTGGACGGTCCGGGGGCGTCGTCGTCGTCGCTATCGAGGACGACGACACCGTCCTCGTCCTCGCGCCCACGTTTGCAAGCGGCGATCTCCTCCAGGGCCCGGTGCTGCCGGATCATCTCCTCGCGCAGGTAGTCGTCGCGCGACCACCGCATGGCGTCCTCGTCGGAGAAGCCGCGCCGGGCTATCTCCTCGTACTCCGGGGGAGGCTGGACTCCACCTTGGGCTCGACTAGGGCGCCGGAGCTGCGGGTGCGCGCGCTGACAGGCGTGTCCTGGGGCTCCGGCTTGACGGGGCGGAGGTGGAGGCAGGGAGAGCCGCCGGAGCTGCGGGTACGCGCGCTGACAGGCGTGTCCTGGGGCTCTGGCTTGACGGAGCGGAGGTGGAGGCAGGGAGAGCCGCCGAACGAGGAGGACACCCCGGTCTCCATGCGCCTCGGCGTCCAGGAGCTTCCCCGGCGGCAGCGTGAGGAGGACGGGGGAGCGGGGTACTCGAGGCGCGGCGTGTTGCCGCCCTCGATGTACTCGAGGACGGACTCCAACGTGCGCCCGGGCACGCCCCACCACCGACGCCGGCCGGCGGCGTTGAACCTGCCGGAGGGCACGACGCCGTTGGTGGCCTCGAGCTGCTCGCCGTGCCGGCGGCGGAAGTACGGCTCCCAGATTGGGCTGTCGGTGACGTACCGGGGCCCCTCCCTCGCCGCACGCGGCAGGGACGAGCGGATGTGTGCGATCTCCGCACGCCGCGCCGCGTCGGTGGGTACCGGGGGCACCGGCACGCCACCGGCGCTGATCCTCCACGCCCCGGGCACCCGCATGTCCGGCGGGACCGGGTACTCGGCCTCGAAAAGGAGGCGAGCCTCGTCCTCATGTAGATGACGGCGCCCGGATCCGTTCGCCGCCGCGCCCTCGCCTGGGAAACGCTCGGCCATGCTTTCTCAACTGGTGACGGCGAGAGGAGGAAAGGGGGAGAAATGAGCGCGTCGTCGGTGGATGATCGGGGTGAGTCTCTCCGGCGCGCTTGCAGTCGGCTTTTATAGGCGGAGACGCTGCGTGGTACGCTTGGCCGGCGCGTTACGTGTGGCGTGATTGCGTGGCGACCGAGGGACGCGTCGCCCAGCCTTCACTGCGCCGTCCGTGAGGCATCAATGGAGGCTGACCGGCGCGGCAGCGCGCGGCAGCTTTGGCATTGATTCGCCGCGGGAAACGAGGCGATGAGGACGAGAAGGTGCGAGAAGAGAGTAGAGTCGCTGACGCGGCAGGCCCGCGGCTCTTCGCGCCAAAAACGATTCGCCCGGCGCCCCCGAGCGACCCCCAGCGCGCCGGGTTCGGGTTGGGTCCGCCGGCGCCAATTTCGGCCCGAGCCGGCGAAAACTAGGCTCTTGGAGACGCGACTGGGCCGATTTTTTGGCACCGGTGGATGAAAACACGCCTAGGGGGCCTTTTTGGGGACGCGGCTGGAGATGCACTTAGAGTCAGAAGCGGAGCGAAGCGAGGCCACGCCCAAATCTCCGGGTCGTTGACTCCGTAGTTAAGGGCTCCTTTGATTCATAGGATAGGAAAAGTGGAGGAATAGGAAAAATGGAGGATTGGCATGCCCTGTCCACATGAATCCTATGGGAATGGAAAACACAGGATTTGGCACAAGTGCGTGTTTGATGGGAGCATAGGAAAAACATAGGAACTCAAGGCATTATAATATTACTATTTTGAAGGCTGTGCATTCAAACAAGTAGCCGTTGGTCACTAAACTAGCCGTTAGGTTGCAGCAGTACATATACAAGCTCCGCCTTCATACAGCTCTAAGAACAAGTTTCGATTCATATGCACCAGAACGTTACAAGCAAGTCTTTGCTATAGCTGAAGTTTTGCTGAAGTTTTCCTCGTACTTGCTTGACCGTCTCTGAAAAATCTGAGGTTAGTTCTTCTAATGTATATATTCCCTTTGCTGCACTTGCTTGGTTGTCTCTCAAATCTCAACTTAGTTCACCTACTGTACATGTTTCCTTTGCTGTCGCTGGCCATCCGAAATCTAGAAAATCAACAGCGCCATGTCTGTTTTAGTTTCGTGGTTACAATTTTCAACCCACCCGGCCACCCCATAGCATCATGTCAGCAACAACCATCACCATCAGAAGCTATATTCTTTTTTGGTTTCTGCATGCTGTAACTTATTCAAACATATACGTAGAGGTAAAATGCAAGAAAGAATCAAATCAGGTGTCCTAATATCATCACCCAGTTCAATGATCTGCACTAAGCTGTATCAGTTATCTGCCAAAAAATCCAGAGTAACACTAAGTGACTAGCATGCCAGAATTAGTCCTTGTTGATCGACCAATAAATTACTAGTACAAGTTTTGACTAGACAAATTAAGTAGTTTACATTTAAACTTGTGAAGTCATGATAACTCAGTAATTTTCCACATGCTTGTTTTCATAGCGTCCAATGGATCCTAGCTACTGTCGCAGATCAAAGAGTGAGGATGAGTTTGCTCTTTTTGTTCTTCCTACTTTAGGAGAACACTCATATTCCTCAAGGAGACCTATGCACACTTCAATACTCACAGGCGCACGGCGTGTAAATGAAATTTTAAATGGACATGAAGACCTATGCAAAAGGCACTTCAGAATGGAGACTGATATATTTCAAGCTTTGGTTCAGAAATTGCGCGAGAATGATCGCCTTGTTGATGGAAGAGATGTCTCAGTAGAAGAACAAGTGGCTATATTTTTGTATGCATTATCTAAGAATGCAACAAATGATACTTTGGCAGATTGGTTTCAGCATAGTGGACAAACAATCAGTTACTATTTTGGTGAAGTGCTCAGTGCAATTACTGAACTCTATTCTGTATACATACGTCCACCTTCCCTACACCCGCATCCAATCTTGAGTAAAGAAAAGTTCTACCCTTTCTTTATGGTATGTATAAATGCTTATGATCAAGTTAGAGTAACATAATTTCAAAATTTTACAGAGAAGATTATATGGCTTATGTACTTGTATTTATGCAGGATTGCATCGACGCTATAGATGGTACACATATTCCATTGAAACTACCTGCTGATGAGCAAGAACCATATCGCAATAGGAAGCAAACATTGTCGCAAAATGTTATGGTAGCATGTGATTTTGATCTGAAGTTTGTGCATGTGCATGCTGGTTGGGAGGGACCGGCTTCAGATGCAAGAGTCCTACAGGATGCACTTAACCATGGTTTTCAAGTACCCCCCGGAAAATTTTACCTTGTAGATGCTGTATACACCACAATTTTTGGCTCCATATCGTGGTACTAGGTACCACTTACAAGAACAAGGAAGAGCTCGCCAAAGGCCAAGAAATTACAAGGAATTATTCAACCTACGACATGCACAACTCCGAAATCATATCGAGAGGATTATTGGTATACTAAAAATGAGATTTCTGATATTGAGAGTGGCTTCACATTACTCGGTGACCAAACAAATTGACATATCAGTTGCTAGTTGTGTGCTGCACAATTTCATACGTTTGCATGATGGAGATTTTTCATGGCCTGAGAATACTACTGTGGAGATTGATCAAGAACAATTTGTTGATGTGCCAAGTGGAGACCACAACTATCACAATGATATACATGCTTTTAATTACTCCAGAGAAGCTGGGAATCAAAAACGAGATTATATAGCACAACAAATGTGGGCACAATATGTATCACGAAGATCTCAGAATATGTAATATTTTATCCAAGTTCTGCTACCATTCATGTACTTGAAATATGAGATGCAAGTTGTAATACCATTCTTGGACTTCATGCTTATGATCAAGCTAGTTTTGCTGCATGCCTAACCAAAAGTCTCTCGACATACCTACCAAAATATACTAAACCATCATGGTCAGTTCTATGACCAATTTAACTAGACAAAAGTATATGACACCCACAGACCAAAAGCTTCCCTAAAATATGACCTCTGATCATAGTGGATCACCACCAGTCCACCACAATGGCTAATTTTGATCATTTTTTTGGGCACGTGCAATCTCTCTTTTAAGCCAAGCCAACCGTAGTTCATTAGTAGAGTAGGACAAGAAAACTTCCCTGTTCTCCTTACATTTGAAGATATCTGATGCCATCAGCATATCTCCTAGTTGTAGACCTTCCAAGCCTTCAATTGTTGTGATACACTTGTTGATGCTGTAGGGGTCCTCTAGCTTCTTTTCCTCAATGGCAGCAAATCGATCAATTTCTTCCTTCTTCAGTTTTAAATACTTCTCATGGAAGTCATCAGTAGCACTACGCTTCTGTTTTTTCCCACGCCTAGTGTCATGTTTCTCCATTTGTGTGGATCTTGGAGGGGCTTGCACATGCTGAATAGGTGTAGATAGATGCGGGGGAGAATCCAAGTTGGTTTCCTCAAGTTCTTCATCTAAAGTAAACCGCATGTCCGACTCACCAGTAACCGGCATAGTAGGTGATGGTGATTGATCGAGATCAGCCATCGGTGTCAACTGTGACAAGGGAACTGGTGCATACTTCCTCTTGCTAGTATAATGGTCCATGCCTTGGCGAGTTCTCCCTTCAGCATAACGACCTAGAGAATAGTTCCAAAGACTTGCTTAGAACAATCAAACATTATATACAAAGTTTAGGCTGCAAGGTAAAATAGCTACAATGGAATTGTGAATATTATGTTGAAGTCACCTTCATAGAGTGGAGCTAATTCTTCATAAAAGGGAAATGATCTTTCTTTCCATTGGAGAGCATCCTTGCTGTTCGTACGAGCAGTAAAGCTTGCCCAAACACTATCAGGTGCGTCTACCATTTTTCTGTCCTTATCCCATCCAAAGCCACTCACATCCAACAACTTTTTCACAGTATGATAGTCTCTCTTCAGATCTTGCTCCTTCTGTTTGACTTGGTTGAGAGTAAATGACTGGTCAAACTTTTGATTGAGTTGATGAAGAATATTATTCCATGCCTCCTTGCTCCAAGCATTCTGCGTCCGAAAACCAGGCACATCGTGATCTTTTAGGAGTTTAATAAGGTACAGCTTCATTTGGTGACTCCATTTGGCTCGAGAGTTACCTTTTGTGATTCCTAGATATTCAACATAATTGTACAAATTTAGTTTCTAAATCAATAACAGATCAAAAAATAAAATAAAATTGCATATCTAAGTTTATCAGTGTCACCGTAACATCAGAACTTACCTATTTCTGGATGAAGACCTGTAGTCCCACCATCAACTTCAAGATCAATTGCACCATTTGATTGCAGATGATGGCCTTGTCGCTCAGACAAGCAACGTCGATCAGCCATCTACATGCATCATATTGTTGGCATACAATTTTTACAGGGCACAAATGATATTTGTTCATAATAGAATCCTTGAAAAGGGAAATTTTAGTGCCTTGTGCAGACAAAAAAATTACCACGTGATGATCCAATAGCTATGAAGAAAATAAGCTCATGCTGCTCATACAGTGCCAAAGAACCAGAGGAAAAGTAAAAATATGGGTACCATCAGGACACAGTCGTGCAACTCAATTGCTAAATAAACGAGCTAGACATTAGCAAATACATAGTGAATTGAGAATTTAGTCAAATCTGAGACCTCTTATTTTTTTACCTAATAGCTGCAAAGAAAATCCCCAAATCCTGAAATAACAAGCTCGATCTAAAAAATCAGAGAGAATCTACAGCAGGTTGCAAACTAATACTAAGCAAATCAATCTAATCTATGTGTATAATATCTACAAATTCATGGGAAATCATGGGAAGCAAAGGAGGACCGGATCTGGCTTTTGGAGTTGCCTCGTACCTTGTTGCTGGACTTCCTATACGGAGGAATAGAAGCAAGGAGGCCGGCCGAGGAGCTGACCAGCTGAGCAGAAGGCCAGGCAGCAGGCCGAGGACCTGGGCAGAAAGCCGGGCGGCCGGCCGGCCGTGGCGGCGCAGCACGACTAGGTCGATGCTGAAGAAACTGGGGGGCGGTGCTTCTGTTTGCGATGTGTCTTGTGAGAAGTTACGCGAGCGTTTATTTACCGCGAAAACTGAGCGCGCGGTGAGCGAGCGCGCGCTTTTTTTCCCGCCAGGATTCTTTCCGAGAGCTTCCACCTTTTGAGAACTTTCCTGTGAAATAGAGAATGGGAAAATCCATAGGATTGATTCCCAAGGTTTCTATTCCTGTAAATCAAACGATTACCAGAGGAAAAAATCCATAGGATTAGAATCCTATGAAAATTCTACAAAAATCCCATGAATCAAAGGAGCTCTAAGGTTGTTTCTGATTCCAGGCCGTGTATATCCTTTGCTATTTTTTTACGGTTTTGCTATTTTTCAGCCGGATGAAAACAATTAGGATTCATCCGTTTTTCTGTTCGTCCGATCGCTTTGTTGAGATTTGTGCTATTCCTTTTTTTCCTGATCTCTGTCTGTTTGGTTGCTACGGGGCCCGCATAATTTGTCGGGAGAGACTCGTTAATTGCGTGCGCCCGCCCGCCCTCTACTCGCTGAATGCCTTCTTCATTTCGAATTTTTTCTTTTCGCTTTCTCGCCCCCTCGTCTCTTCCCCTTCCTATTTTTCCAGCGGCGGATACCTCGGTGAGTTGGAGATCTGGAGTCATGGCGATTTTGATTGGGAGTTCTCCTTCGATGCTCGCTTGAGGGCTTGGTGGTCAGGCAGCCGGAGTTCTTCTCTCCTCGTCGCTGCATCTCTCCTCTGTTGCTATTTCCCTTTCGGTTCCCTGTTGCTCAGATCTGTGGGTTGCTCGGGTGTTATGATCTGTAGGGTTATGTGATGTTGTGCTTTGGGGATCGAGTGTTGTGATCTGTGATGTGATGTGTTGGGCTCTTGTGATGTTTCCCCTTTGGTTAGGCGCCCGTGTGTGTTTGCCTGATCGATTCTGTTTGCGTCATAGTGATTCTTCAGTTAGTTCATTTGGATCCTAGTTGTAGCTGCTATTTTTCGTTAGTTGGTATCCTGATTTTTGTTTAGTTATCTCCGGTAGTAGCTGTTAATTTTTAGATCTAGCATGCTTTGGTACGAGTTGAGTTTGATTTTGGTCTCTGATGTGAGGGGTTGGTCTCCCATAGTACGTTGCGCTGTTGTATTGCTTGGAGAATTATAGGTCCTCATAGTACTTGGCCAGCTCATGCTGTAGTTTTTGCTGCTGGGTAGTAGTACGTGGTGCTGTCGTAATTCTCATTTTTCTCTGTCATGGCATGGTAGAGGGTTCAGTTTCTCCAGTGTAATAGTTGATTGCCATTTGTTCTCTAATGTACTCCATGTAGGCAGGGGTGGTAGTTCTATGGGAATTTTAGGTGCTTGCCATTTCTTTTAGTATTTACTGAAGCTATGCCTCTGTAATTTAAGTTGGTTTGCCACTGTATTATATGATGCTTATAACCGTACTAGCATTGTGATTCTTGCTTGCTAGTCATTCTAATTCAAGTGCATCAGAACTGTAATTCTAGTAGTTTGTTTTTTTTAGACCGGCACCGAATGCCTCTGTCTTATTTTGTATGTCACATACACGGCAGGTGGTCTCCTAGATTTAGTTATGTCCAAATTAAGTGGTTTTATTCAGGTTGGATGTGAGAAAGCCACATCAATGTTCAGGCCGGGTTCGTTCAGTAGCTAGGTTTGGTTTACTAATTGGCCATTGCGAGTTGCGACTAGAGTTAATCTTATGCTCTGTTTGGTCGCTGGATTTCTTGTGCATTTGTTTGTTAGTGTTGGCTTGTTTTATCTCAAATTTGTTGTTTATTACTGAAGATGAAGATTGTTGGACTTGACTGATCTTCTGAGTTCTATTTTTTATCTACTGAAGAAAATGGCATGCTCCCTTTGGTAGGCAAAGCATATAATTGTGGTGTGTGAAGTTGTAAAATGGAATTAACGGGATAATAAGAACGAGAACATGGAACAGTACTAGGTACTTGTATTTGTGATTAAATCGGTTGATGTGTATGTTGATTCAGTATAACATTGTCTGTTTGTGTTGATGCTAGCTATGCCACAATTATATATCATAGGTTATGACTGTTTAGTCCTGATTTCCTAGGTTTTTTCCTGGTATGTACTGTAATTTATGTTGTCTGCCATTGTAATTTCAATTGTTCACTTTTGTAAATTTTGATTGCTTTTAATGTAATTCGAGTGATCTAGCTTTGTAATTCCAGTGGTGTTATGAGTGTAGTTCTAGCACTTTTTTTTCTTGGTTTCTACTGTAATTTTAGGGGAGTTCCATTGTAAATCGTTTGTAATTTTTTGATTTATTTCCGCAGTGATATCTCTATATTTTGCAGTGGCTTACTAGTGTATTTTTTATCGATTACGACTGTAATTCCAATGGTTATAGGGATCTAGCTCTGTAATTCCAGAGATGTAGCTTTGTAATTCCAGTAGTTTTAGTATTGCTGATGATTGTAATTCCAGTAGTTTTATTCCTGGTTACTACTGTAATTGTAAGTGAGTTCTATTTCTATACCAATGTAATTCTAGAGATGTAGCTCTTTATTTCCAATAGTATATTGTTTTAGAGTGTAGTTTCCAATAGTAAATAGTCAGCTGTATTTTATCAGTATTTTTAGTGTAATATCAGAGTTATTTTATTGTGATTTCAGCTTGAACGTGTGTAAATGTGAGATTGCTCCTGAGTGTTGTTTTCCTATCACTGGATTGCTCTGGACTGCCCTTTTCTTATCACTTTATTTACTCTGTAAATCTTAGTTTTTGCTGTTATTTGTAAGTGAGATCACAGTGTTATTGTTAGTATAATTTTAGTCTTTTTACTATAAGTTGTAAGTGAAATTACAGTGCCAATTGTAGTGTAATTTTAGGTTAGTTACTCTATCTTTGTCAGTGTTTTTACTCTTTAATTCTTAGTGGATTCTTTTAGTGCAATGACTCCTAATCTTTGAGTTTACTCGGCAATTTATAGTGGATTTCTTAGTGTAATTACTTTATATTTGTAGTGTAATTACTGTATAATTTTAGTGTAATTACTCTATCTCGTCAGTTCTTTTCACACTGCAAATTGTAGTGGAATTCACACTGTAATTGAGTGTGATAATCTCTGTTTCATTGATTTACACTGTAAATTCTAGTGGAATTGTAGTGTGGTGTCACCATAATTTTATTAATGTAATTTATTCCCCTCGCTGCGTGCTTGAGCAGGTTGGTGGTCAGGTGTCCAGCGCTCTCCCATCAGTTGCGCCGCCGCATCTCCCGGCCGAGGTCTGCCGCCTGATCTGTGCTGTATCTCCCACTCACCCCGCACCCCACCCCGCCCCTCCAAATCTCTCCCTCCCCTTCTTCTTTTTGCGGGTTTTTTGATGTGTTCTTTGGGTCCTCAGATCGATTTTGAGTAGGTTGCTGCTGGTGATGTGTGCATCGTTAGGGCACTCAGATCCGTTCCCGTTTGTTTTTGGTAGTTAAATGTGATAGCCCCCGCGGCCTCTAGTTGTCCTGTTCGCGCGCTTTGATTAGGCTTCAGGAGAGATTCGTCTGCTATAGGGGATTCATCTTCTATGTGTGGTCGTTTGGATTAGGGCGTGTTTGTTTTGAATCGGACCGTGTCCTGCTGCTTCTTCACATGTATGACCTTGACCTGCAGTCCAGGCTGCAGCGCGCCAACGCCGCTGGCTTCTGTACCACCAGACCTAGTAGAACCCACATCTGAACAAACAAAACATCTGCCATGTCCGGAATCTACATGATCCTGTTATCTGTGTTTGATTAGGCAGCTTTGTTTCTTGCTCTGTTATTGTAGGGTCATTTAGGGTTCCAAATCCCATTTAAGTTACCTATTCACTTTA